GACCAACTGAGTAACAACATCAATATCGTAAACTGGACGAAATAATTAATCTTGTATTATGTAAAATAATATATTATGTTGTACCTTTTCCAATCTATCCATTTCAGTTTTGTCACCAACCTTACTGGGCGTGGATGTACGCTCATAACCATCAGCTTCTATATCTGGCCAAAGATACAACTTATGTTTGCCCCTTCGCAAAGTACTAACATAAAAATATATTAGTCATTTTTATCTATTGATTACAATATTATCATTTTCATTCCTCAGTCTATTGTGTTAATATCATCTTACTTGTGTTTTCCAAAAAGTCGAAAAGTGGTACCACCTATTGGAACTACTTTGCGTGGACCGTGAACATCCCACACTGTTAATGCTAATTGAGAGGTAACAGGAAGATCACGATATTTCACAGGAATTGTGAGCCATTCGTTCCAACTGCCATTGTTTCAAATAATGTTAAAATTTATATCATAACAAGGATCAAAGAATCATATTTACTACTTACATCCAATTATTTTTGAATGATTTGTATGAAGTCCTAATTGGAACAGTAAGTGGCTTGTTGTCTCCATATAGTTGAATGCTCACGTATAAATCAGAAAAGTTGCTAATAATTAAAATTATTTTAATGCCTAAACTTCTCGGGCAGTAAAAAAGATTGCTCTTAGAAAATACCTTGTTTGCACACCAGTAAATTTGAGAGAAGGATCACTAAGTATAGTGGTAAAAGATTTCTTTTCACGAATGCCTTCAAGACTCGAGCTGTTCCACGGTTTGAAAATGTGTGAATTATTTTTTATATTTACGTCTTTGAAACTAGTCATTTGACCTACATTCGTATAGTAAAAGGTAGATCTAAGTCTTTTGTTAAGCAAAATGAATAAGAGAAATCTTTAGCTTGGGCTGATCCGTAATCCATTGGCGTGTTTAAACAGAGATCTAGCGTTATATTATCTATATTATCAGTATCCGTAAAATAAAAACCGAGATTCGTTTACATATTTATATGAATTACTGCGGCAAAGCATGTGTCTTTAAATGTAACTGGCTATTCGTATGCCAATCGAATTTCGGAATCAGGTATAACGTAAAAATCGAAGCGAAGTCACTTTTTTACAAAAAAAAAAAAACAAGAATAGCTTTAAATTTTAATTAGAAAACCACCTTCTGCGGCCTAATTAAAAATGTTCCTCATGAAATTTACTAATAGCTCCAACCCAGAACCTACACTGTTCTCACCCTAACCCTAACTATAACGCGGTTCTCTTTTTACACGCGACTTTTTACTGAAAACAAAACCACGTTTATTTTGACTAACACGTTACACCTGATCTTAAATTTTGATAAATTGAGATCGTTCTTAGTCTTTTATCAGCAATGTCCTACACGAGTTTTTTAATCGCGATCGTGAGAATTGGAATATCTTGGCTTTTTTGAACGAACGTAAACTACCACTATTCAAGAAAAAGATCGAGTCGTACATTACGTCTCTCGAGGTCATTTATGATACTCAAAAAGGCCCAAGGCCTGAACGGGCGAAGAACTTACTTGATCAGTACAGACAGGGAAGTTTATTTTCTTTATTTTCTTGTTGAAGTATTTTAGGTGGCGTTGGCCGCGTGTACTTTGGGTCATGCGTCAATTAAGTCTTTGGGACAAGCCACGAAGCAGTGTTGGGACGCAAGATAATATCTTTGGGAATTTCTTACGTTTGAGACTTTGGGTCGACCTGGCACTTGCCCCACTGGACGTAGGACAATATCTTTGGGAATTTCCTACGTTTGAGACTTTGGGTCGACTTAGTGGGATGCAAAGTCGAATAAAGAATTTTTCAAAGGTACTCATTAACAAAATTTATTTGCAAGGGCCCTGATTATGAACTTGCTCGAAATTGGAAGAAGGAAAATAATTCAGTCAGTTCACTTTCACCAAGTTACAGTGGATAACTCAGTGATTGGAATCAATAGGGATTTATAATATGCCTAAAAGAAACAAAGAAGATGAAAAGGTACATATGTCATTTTTTGCTATAGTTGTAGGAATCACAGGAATTAATTATTTTGTATTTTAGGTTTCTCCTGTACGCGATGATAATTCCGGGTATAGGAAAAAAAATAAAGCATGTGAGTATCTGAGAACGTATAGTTCGGTT